CCACCATGCCTGGCTAATTTTTTCTATATATATTTTTAGTTGTCTAGCTAATTTCTTTCTATGTTTTAGTAGAGATGGGGTCTCCCTCTTGCTCAGGCTGGAAGCATACTCGTTCTTTATAGCCACTGCCCCCTTTAGGTGATCATTTTCTTTCTTCCTAGTCTTCCCTACAGTCAATTATCCAAACAAAACAGGCTAGAAGCCTAGCACCTTCTGTCTAACAAAGTGGTCTTTCCTGCATTCATTTCTGCTATAAAAATTTAACAAAGCTTTTCATTTACAGTAAAGGCACATGAGTAAGGAGAAATAGATCCTCTGCTTTTAGTGTATTAATTATGATCAGGGACTATAATTGTGTGTTCTTTTCAAGCCTTTAGTATTTATTTTCTTCTGTTAATTAAAATCTCATTCTTTGATAAATCAGGCATTTTTATGTTCATAAATTTGTAGGTTCAGAATGATATTTTAAAATCCATGGTATGTAATTCAAAATTTGTATCTGTAATAGTGATTAAATTATTATAATTATAAATAATCAAGTTTTTCTCTTAACAGGGTTTTCTATTGTGATAATGTCAATATGGCCATATCTCCAAAAGGTTTGTGCATTTCAATCTATTCTTCTCTTAAGAAACTATAGTGGTAGGAGCTCTTATGTAGTTAAACATTTTCTGGAGTCTCTTTGGTATTCTATGGTTAATCTTTATTAGAATAACAAGATAATGGTTTCTCGAAAGAAGCTTATAAATAAGGTGACCATATGCTTTATTATGCAAATCAGAACACTTTTGAAGTGAAAAGAGATGCTATACCAGTAAAAACAGGATTATGCCCAGACAATCCTAGTCAAATGTAGATGTATGGTCACCTACTTATACGCCACTTTCTCATCCCATCACTGCCTCTTCCCTTATAAAATGGAAACTAAACTAAACGTAGTCTGAATTCCCATAATGTACAAATTATATTTCTATAGAATAATGTAATGATTTTCCCATAGAATTAATTTGAGTTATCAGGTATTGTGAAAAGAATCCATAGTATGTGTTTGATGCTGTTAGCACTGGAAGGGGAAGGGGGGTTGACTTGAAGATGTAAATTCAGTAGGTACCTTGACATCAGTTGATCAAGTCCTGTCAATTCTATCTTAAATCTCCAGGAATGAACTTACTAAAAATCAGTGTATAAGTTGGCTATATAATTCATTTAAATATTACAGTTAAAGTTCTTAAAGAGTGTACAGCTGTAGTCCCAGCTACCTGGGAGGCTAAGGCAAGAGGATTACCAGAGCCCAGGAGCTTGAGGTTGCTGTGAGCTAGGCTGACGCCATGGCACTCACTCTAGCCTGGGCAACAAAGTGAGACTCTGTCTCAAATAAATAAATAAATAAAATAAAAATATAACGAGTATACACACTTATGTATCACCTAATGGAGGTAGAATGTATAGTTAGTATATTTGCCCTTAGTCCAGGATTATTCAAAAGATCAGCCCCGTTTGGAGAGTTGTGGTCTCTTCTTGGGTTGGGTCCACTAGTAGAATTTATCTGGTAATCCACGTTGGAGCAAAAGCAACTATTATAAGAGGTCCCAGGGAATGGAATGTGTTAGGTCACATCTAGCCTTCCTGTTATCACTCCTACGTTCATTTTGCTAAAGTAACCATACAAAATAGCTTCCTGCAGTAAGGTTCATTTGCTGTCATCATGTAGAGCATGTCATAATGATGATAGTTAATATCTTTTAATACTTAGCAGCTATGGAAGATCTGTTGTAGCTAGTGTATTTGATTTATCTTGATATAATTTATTCATTTTGTTTAACAGATTTCATTACTCTTGATTAATTTGTGCATGGCAACAATAGCAAAATAGTTGCTTTGCAAAATGTTTTGCCTTTTTAAGTTATCTTGTAGTTCCCAAGTTTCTGTATACAATGATCCATAAATATAATCCATGGAAATTTTTAAAAATAATTCTTATTCATAGATGAATTAGTGTAGTGGAAACCAATATTAGTAAATCTAGCTCTATTGTACCATTTTCATGACTTTAGAAGAGAGAAAATATAATTGTTAACACATAAAAATCCACATATAGTGAGATAAATTTACATTGTTTTTCTTCTTTACACCTAGAGAATGGGACATTGTAGAAACTGAAGAGCATTATAAGAGCCGATGGAGATCTATCAGGATTCTGTATCTTACTATGTTTCTCAGCAGTGTGGGTAAGTATTATAAATACATAGTTTTAAAAATTCACATAAAATATCACATTTTAACCTCATTTAATTTTTCAAAATTGTCTTTTGTGCTAAAAAATGTGTAACATAAAATTTACCATCTTACCATATCTATGTCCAGTAGTACTAAGTATATCCATCCACATTCTTGTGCAACCAGTCTCTAGAACGTTTTGTTTTACGAAACCAAAACTCTATACTCCCCATTCTATCCTTCTCCAGTCCCTGGCAACCACCATTCTACTTTCTGTTTTTCTGAATTTGACTGTTCTAAATACCTCATTTAAGTGGAAACATATAGTATTTTTCTTTTTGTGACTAGCTTATTTCACTAAACATAAGGTCTTCAAAGTTCATCTATGTTGTAGCATGTAATAGAATGTCCTTCTTTTTAAGGCTTAATAGTTCGTTGTAGGGAAGGAAAAACTTTTCCTCTATCCTTTTATGTTATATGCCTGAGGCCTATGAATTAAGCTGACAAAAGATAGATTAATAGGAAAAAATCATACAAATTTATTTGATGTTAATATTTTTATGTGAATAGGAGACTTCATAGAAAAGAATTGAAAACCCCAAAGAAGTGGTTAGATTCTGTTATAGATCATTTTAACAAAGGGTGATAAATTGTGGAGAAGTGACTAGAAAAAGGAAGGGGCTTGGACTTGCATGAACAGTAAATCATGGGAAAATGACTGGGAATAAATGGGGAGACAGATGGTAGATAAGGGTTGTTTTAGAAAGGTTTGTTTGTGCAGACTCATTTCAGTGTAGACTCCCCATCTCCAGTGATAAGAATGTTCTTCTTGGTGCTAGGAGAACACCTTTCTTAGGAAATCCTGCTTTTAGGCAGAAAGGGGTAGAGTGGAGAGCTCTTCCTACATCTGCTATTTCTCAGTGGCCTTCAGTTCAAAATAATTAATATGCCAAAATAGCATATTTTTAGGGTGACATGTTCTGATCCCCTTTAGGGGGATCAGAATACAATACCAGAATACAATACCACCTTTGTTTACTCATTCGTCTGTCCATGGACATTTGGATTGCTTCCACCTCTTGGTTATTGTTAATAGTCCTGCTATGAATATGGGTGTACAAATATCTCTTCAAGATACTACTTTCAATTTGGGGGATATATGCCCAGAAGTGAAATTGCTAGACCATATGATGATCTTATTTTTTTTCTGAGGCAGAGTCTCGCTTTGTTGCCCAGGCTAGAGTGAGTGCCGTGGCGTCAGCCTAGCTCACAGCAACCTCAAACTCCTGGGCTCAAGCAATCCTTCTGCCTCAGCCTCCCGAGTAGCTGGGACTACAGGCATGCGCCACCATGCCCGGCTAATTTTACATATATATTAGTTGGCCAATTAATTTCTTTCTATTTATAGTAGAGACGGGGTCTTGCTCTTGCTCAGGCTGGTTTCGAACTCCTGACCTCGAGCAATCCGCCCACCTCGGCCTCCCAGAGAGCTAGGATTACAGGCGTGAGCCACTACGCCCGGCCTAATACTGTGATAATTTTTAAAGGAATATTTTTAGGGAATTAATTTTTTTCCAAATTTAGAGCCTGTAAATCTATAAGCATTGATTTTATAAGCAGTTTTTTTCCCAGAGAGGAATATAGTGGAAGTCATTTTACTAAATTGTTTTTCATATCTTTTCTATTTATTTCAGTCATCCTGTTTTCTCTCACTTGCCAGTCTTGTGCGTGAATTCTTTGTAATGTAGTTTCTTCTTGCATTTTGTGTTAGTTACGATGCCTTGTGCAAATATCAAAAAAAGTTGAATCAATTGGCTTACCCAGTAATGAAATTTATTATTTCTTTTAAGATGGCCATAGCAAGACAACTCCAGATGAGGTTCAGCAGGATTTTGGTTCTGTTTTTCAACAACTCTTTTGGGTTTACCCTCTTCTATACTCTGGCTTCATTATTAGCAAGAACGCTACAGCATTTGAAGGTGTCTCATTCATGATAATTTTTATTGATTAAAAGGGACTATTTTTTAAGCCTTCTCAGACATGAGGATTTCTTTTCCAGAGGTCTCCATGTTGACTAGAGGTTCCCAAGTAAACTACCGTTCACTTCACTAGTCAGAACCGGGTTACCTATCACTTTCAAAACCCATCAGCAACTAGGATAATGAGATCACCTTGACCGAATTTTCTAGACTAATCAGGATCTACCATATAGAACTGGAGGTAGAGACAGTTTCTACTAGACCCTGAGGCTTTTGTTGAGGAAGGACGAATACCTGAATAAAACTGGGATTCTATCAGGAAAGTGGAAGGGGGCAAATGGATGTTGTTTTTGTAGTAACATCTGCAGTAGATTTTTTCTATTTAAAACACTTCTAGTTTTTAGTATTCGATTATTTAAAATTATAAGAAACACTTTCAAATTTAACAGCAAAAAAACCTTTTTATCTTTAGGTTTTAATTGGTATGTTAAACATTTTACTTGTTTACAAGTTTCTTTACTGCAAAATTGTAAGCTTGATTTCAAAGATAAATTGGTGCTTTCAATCCTTTATTGATTAAAGTCAATTTGTCAATTCAAAATATTTTAAAATGAAGCTAATAATTAAATTATTTTTACAAAAGGAATGAAGTACTGATACATGCTATGACTTAGATAACTTTTGAAAACATTATGCTATTAATAGTGAAAGAAGCCAGACACAAAAGACCACATATTCTATTCATATGAAAGTTCAGAATATGGCCGGGTGTGGTGGCTCAGGCCAGTAATCCTAGCACTCTTGGAGGCCGAGGCTGGAGGATTGCTCGAGGTCAGGAGTTTGAAACCAGCCTGGGCAAGAGCGAGACCCTGTCTATACTATAAATAGAAAGAAATTAATTGGCCAACTAATATATAGAGAAAAAATTAGCCGGGCATGGTGGCACATGCCTGTAGGCCCAGCTACTCGGGAGGCTGAGGCAGAAGGATCGCTTGAGCCCAGGAGTTTGAGGTTGTTGTGAGCTAGGCTGATGCCACGGCACTCACTCTAGCCTGGGCAACAAAGCGAGACTCTGTCTCAAAAAAAAGAAAGTTCAGAATAGGGAAATCTATAGAGTAGAAGGTAGATTAGTGGTTGCTTAACAACTAATGGGAGAGGGATGAAAGGGAACAGGGTTTCTTTTTGAGATGACAAAGATATTTTAAAACTGATTATAGTGATGGTTGCACACATCTGTGATTATACTAAAAACTATTGAATTATATACTTTGGGTAAATTGTGTAGTATATGAATTATATCTCAATAAACCTATTTTAAAAAATAGGTTTTATAGAATTTCCGATTGGATTTGCCTAACATTTTAAATTGACAAAAAGCCGTGGAGTTAATCATTACAGTTCTCAAGTTGTGAAGGCTAGCAGAGAGAATGAATTTTCTTTTAAGATATGGCCATCTTGAAGTATACTCATTCTTTTTTAATTTTTATATATATTTTTTTGAGACAGAGTCTTGCTCTATTGCCCGGGCTAGAGTGCCCTGGTGTCAGCCTAGCTCACAGCAACCTCAAACTCCTGGGCTCAAGCGATCCTCCTGCCTCAGCCTCCCGAGTAGCTGGGACTACAGGCATGTACCACCATGCCTGGCTAATTTTTTCTATATATATTTTTAGTTGTCTAGCTAATTTCTTTCTATGTTTTAGTAGAGATGGGGTCTCCCTCTTGCTCAGGCTGGAAGCATACTCGTTCTTTATAGCCACTGCCCCCTTTAGGTGATCATTTTCTTTCTTCCTAGTCTTCCCTACAGTCAATTATCCAAACAAAACAGGCTAGAAGCCTAGCACCTTCTGTCTAACAAAGTGGTCTTTCCTGCATTCATTTCTGCTATAAAAATTTAACAAAGCTTTTCATTTACAGTAAAGGCACATGAGTAAGGAGAAATAGATCCTCTGCTTTTAGTGTATTAATTATGATCAGGGACTATAATTGTGTGTTCTTTTCAAGCCTTTAGTATTTATTTTCTTCTGTTAATTAAAATCTCATTCTTTGATAAATCAGGCATTTTTATGTTCATAAATTTGTAGGTTCAGAATGATATTTTAAAATCCATGGTATGTAATTCAAAATTTGTATCTGTAATAGTGATTAAATTATTATAATTATAAATAATCAAGTTTTTCTCTTAACAGGGTTTTCTATTGTGATAATGTCAATATGGCCATATCTCCAAAAGGTTTGTGCATTTCAATCTATTCTTCTCTTAAGAAACTATAGTGGTAGGAGCTCTTATGTAGTTAAACATTTTCTGGAGTCTCTTTGGTATTCTATGGTTAATCTTTATTAGAATAACAAGATAATGGTTTCTCGAAAGAAGCTTATAAATAAGGTGACCATATGCTTTATTATGCAAATCAGAACACTTTTGAAGTGAAAAGAGATGCTATACCAGTAAAAACAGGATTATGCCCAGACAATCCTAGTCAAATGTAGATGTATGGTCACCTACTTATACGCCACTTTCTCATCCCATCACTGCCTCTTCCCTTATAAAATGGAAACTAAACTAAACGTAGTCTGAATTCCCATAATGTACAAATTATATTTCTATAGAATAATGTAATGATTTTCCCATAGAATTAATTTGAGTTATCAGGTATTGTGAAAAGAATCCATAGTATGTGTTTGATGCTGTTAGCACTGGAAGGGGAAGGGGGGTTGACTTGAAGATGTAAATTCAGTAGGTACCTTGACATCAGTTGATCAAGTCCTGTCAATTCTATCTTAAATCTCCAGGAATGAACTTACTAAAAATCAGTGTATAAGTTGGCTATATAATTCATTTAAATATTACAGTTAAAGTTCTTAAAGAGTGTACAGCTGTAGTCCCAGCTACCTGGGAGGCTAAGGCAAGAGGATTACCAGAGCCCAGGAGTTTGAAGCTGCTGTGAGCTATGATAATGTCACTGTACTCTAGCCCAGGCAAGAGAGAGACCCTGTCCTTCCCCCCCCCAAAAAAAAGTTTATTGTGATATGTAAACTCTCTTTAAGTGGTAGAATACTGAATATTCTACCATATGTTATATAGAATACTATCTATGTAGCAAAGAAGAATTAGTAATAGGTTTTTTTTTTGAGACAAGTGTCTCACTCTGTTGGCGGGGATAGAGTGCCCTGGCATCAGCCTAGCTTCACAGCAACCTCAAACTCCTGGACTCAAGCAATCCTTCTGCCTCAGCCTCCCGAGTAGCTGGGACTACAGGCACGCGACACCATGCCCGGGTAATTTCTTCTATATATTTTTAGTCGTCCAATTAATTTCTTTCTATTTTTAGTAGAGATGGGGTCTTGCTCTTGCTCAGGCTAGTGTCAAACTCCTGACCTTGAGTGATCCTCCCACCTTGGCCTCCCAGAGTGCTGGGTTTACAGGCATGAGCCCACCTCGCCCAGCCAGTAATAGGTTTTTAAATTTTTCTTTCCTAAACAAGGTTTAGGTTTAATGAGAGAATTGTCTATCAGCTTTTGTGTTTTGATTATCCTCTTCATGCATTTGACTATTGTGGTGAATTCTAAAAAAAATAGATTTATGGTGCTAATGGCTGTTTAGCTTAGGGAGTAGCATAAGTCTAAAGAATTGTTATTTATAAGAATTCAGAGCCTGGCACAATGGTTCGAGCCTGTGATCCCAGCCACTTGGGAAGCTGAGGCAGGATGATCACTTGAATTTGAAGCTACAGTGAGCTATGATCATGCCTGCACCCCAGCTTAGACAACAGCATGAAACCTCATCTCTTAAAAAAATAAATTAATTAATTAAAATAATAAAAATTAGAATTGTGTGTATAAGAATTAGGGCTGGGTGTGGTGGCTCACACCTATAATACTAGCATTTTGGGAGACTAAAGCAGGAGGATTGCTTGAGGCCAGGACTTCAAGAGCAGATTGGGCATTATAGTGAGATTTTGTCTCTATGAAAAAATAAAAAATTAGCCAGGCATGGTGGCACTACTTGGGAGGCTGAGGCAGGAGGATCACTTGAGACCAGGAGTTTGAGGCTGCAGTGGGCCGTGATTGCACCATTCAACTCCAGCCTGGGTAACAGAGTGAAACCCTGTCTCTAAAAAAATAAAATTTTTTTTAAAAAAATTTAAAGAATAGCTTATATTATTTTTCATGATGTTATTGCTCTACATATAGTGTGATTATCTTTTTAACAAGATTTTTAAGAACCAGAAATTTCTATAACCATTCTAAAAGGTGAAGCTTCCCAAGCATTTTCCCCTTGTGGACAGTGAATTATTAGCACATTTAATTGTATTGTTAAAAGTTTTACTCCCTTTCTATAAGTAATAGTGTTATAAAACTTGTATGTTAGAATGGTTGTTTTTATTTTTTTAGTAGAAAAATTTACATGGTCCGACAAATGTATTTAGGTTTTAAATTTCACTTTTCTTGGATAACAATTCTTAAGGTATTATACTTTCTTTGCAGATTGATCAGACTGCCGATGCAAGTTTTTTGGGCTGGGTTATTGCTTCATTTAGTCTTGGCCAAATGGTGGCTTCACCTATGTTTGGTTTATGGTCTAATTATAGACCAAGAAAAGAACCTCTTACTGTCTCCATCCTCATTTCGGTGGCAGCCAACTGCCTATATGCATATGTCCACCTCCCAGCTTCTCATAATAAATACTACATGTTGTTTGCTCGTGGATTGGTGGGATTTGGAGCAGGTAATATGTTTGTGTATGTATGTTTGATTATTTCAAATTCACATTCATCCTGACATTTATGGCCCTTTCTCACCTGGTCTCATACTTTCTTGATCTCATATTTCACAGTTCAGCATACACATCTCTCATTGCAAATGGACAAATAATCTTTTCTATCATTTTGCATTTGCTCATGATGTTCCCATTACCTGTAGCTTCTCTTCTGTTCCCATTATGCTTCATCCTTCAAGATTCAGTTCAGGTTCGAGCACAGTGGCATGTACCTGGAGTCCAGCTACTTGGGAGGCTAAGACAGGAGGATCTATTGAGTCCAAGAGTTCAGGACCAGCCTTGGCAACATCTTGAGACCCTGCCTCAAAAAATCCAAACCAAACAAACAAAATTTGTTTAGTCAAACAAACTAAACAAAATTCAATTCAAGTTCCACATCTTTGATGAAGCCCTCTTAGTCTACCCTGCCTGTTAACAGATTTTTATCTTCTCTGACATGTCTCTGGCACTTGCTTATAGTCTGATACTGTTTTTATCCTTTCTGACCAACCAGACAATAAACTTGTGTAACTAGAGACAGTTTATAATACTTTTAAATATTTTGTGGCCCCTAGCAGAGTCTCTTGAACATAACAAGTGTTCAATAAAATTTTTCAGTTAAACCATTAATGCCTTTTTAAAAAATTTCTCATGGTCTATGCATAGAGAGTTTGTGACACCTTGAAAATAGTTGTAGCAATCAGTGGGATGCTATTCACTCAGTGCTTTCATGGTATTCTTTAATGAAAAGTTTGATATACTAATATCATCTTTTCATTCACTCAAATCTCTAGTGGTGATTTCATATTACTAAAAATACTATGTTTTATTAATTGATGCATTTGATCAGGAAAAGTAGCTTACATTCCTTGTATGAACATAAAGAGGAAGCAGTGACTATACTGTTGATCAATATTTCTTCTTCTGTATAAAGTCAAATTAGACTAAATTTTAAAAACTGAACAATCTTTTCTTTTACCTTGAATTATTGTGTCTTTTTTAGGAAATGTAGCAGTTGTTAGGTCATATATTGCTGGTGCTACTTCCCTTCAGGAAAGAACAAGTTCCATGGCAAATACAAGTGCCTGTCAAGCATTAGGTTTTATTCTTGGCCCAGGTAGGTGTTCTTCACCTGTCATTGCTTAGATTTGAATTGGGAAAACTATTGAGGCTCAAATGTTAAGTGTAATCCAAGTATAAAACCTCATACCTGAAGGAAAAGGGAGGGAAATTAATATTTTTCATCCAGCAGTGAGGCTAGGCTTATTTTACCTTGATACCTATCCTCTAAATTTAGTACTAATAGTCTTGTTTTACAGTTGAGGATGCCAAGGCATCATTAACGCCTCACACCCCTCCTCAGTTTCCATTACTTCCTTTTATTTAGCCAAAAAAAAAAAAAAAAAAGGCTTAACAGAACAGAATCTAATTCACTATTCATCAAAATTTAATTATTTCAATTTATTAAATAGTATTCTGGAACAAATATAAGCACAAATTTAGAATAATTGAACCTTAATGCCATATTGTAGAGTACATGAAGACATGGTCTGAGTCTTTTTTATTTACCAGTCTACTCTTAGTACCTTGTATAGACTTAGGTTCTCAGTAAGAATTTTTGATCACCTTAAAAGCATTTTAAAGATTATCTCATTTAAACATTTTGTGTTATAATGAGTAAATATAAGCCTGAAGAGATTAGCTGATTTTTCCAATAATAATAACCACTCAACTCTAATATTTATTGAGAGCTTACTGTGTGGTAGACACTGTTCTGGGTGCTTTAGGTATAGTATCTAAATCCTCACTCTGAGGTTATGTGCACATTATTATACAGCCTTTTATAGAATCTAAACTAGGAGAGCAAACCAGTACTGTTCCAATCTAATTTTTGTCAGAAATCCAAATTTAAATGACATTAATATATATAATTTAGGTACCATCTACGCAATAATATGTAAAGTATTTCACTTAAAATGTAATATTTTCTTTCTTATAATGAAATTGATTAAACTTTTATAATTGATTTATGGAAGAAATTGCTTATGGAGATTTTTTTTTTTTTTTTAAAGGAGATACTGGCCGGGCGTGGTGGCTCATGCCTGTAATCCTAGCACTCTGGGAGGCCGAGGCAGGCGGATTGCTCAAGGTCGGGAGTTAGAAACCAGCCTGAGCAAGAGCGAGACCCCGCCTCTACTATAAATAGGAAGAAATTAATTGGCCAACTAATATATATAGAAAAAATTAGCCGGGCATGGTGGCACATGCCTGTAGTCCCAGCTACTTGGGAAGCTGAGGCAGGAGGATTGCTTGAGCCCAGGAGTTTGAGGTTGCTGTGAGCTAGGCTGACGCCACGGCACTCACTCTAGCCTGGGCAACAAAGTGAGACTCTGTCTCAAAAAAAAACAAAAAAAAACAAAAACGAGATACTGACAAGTTACTTTAGATATAAGCCTTTGTGAATGCATGTAGGTCATGTTTCTCTACCTTTTTTTCATTATGGTCTCCCTAAGGAGGCTTTTCAGAAATTTTTTTCCCTGATCACTGCATCCCATAAAATTTTAGTACCACATCTATCATATATATATTTTGTGTACTATATATATATCTGAGCTTTATATGTAAAAGAGTAAAGTTTTTGTCCCCCCCACCTCACGAACCAATTTTCTTGCACCTATTAAGAATGCAGATGGATTATTTTATAATATTCTAAACCCTATGGTAAATGTCGTTTTAATTTTTTTAGCCTACGCCTGCCATATATTAATTCACCTGTTTGTATTTTATTTTAATAAGTTTTTCAGACTTGTTTTGCACTCATTGGAGAAAAGGGTGTGACATGGGATGTGATTAAGCTGCAGATAAACATGTACACAGCACCAGTTTTACTTGGCGCCTTCCTGGGAGTTTTCAATATTATTCTGATCCTTGCTATATTAAGGTAATTATATAGAAATGACAAAACTGCTTTTGTAGATTGTGAAATTTAATACACTTTTTAATTTTTGGAGTTTAATTATCCTGATGAAATCTGTTTGGTTTTTGGTGTCTATAGTTGTGTTTGTAGTTTTCCATCAGCCAAAGCATGTAGTATTGGCAACTAAAATAATAGACAACCTGATAAATGAGAACAGATTATGAAGGTCTTTGAAAATTCAAGGTTTGGTCTTGATTTATTAACCATATGTTTCTAAGTAGGGGAATGGCATGAAAGCAATGTTTTAAGTAGATTAATGGATTAGTATCAGCCTTAAATACAAAAGTTACTTATATATATTTTAAAAAACTAAAACTACATAAGTTCTGTTACTTTGTTTAGAGGGCTTTATCCAATAGTCTAAACACATTTATAACTAATGTTTAAAATCACTGAAAAAATTAAAAAATGAAAAAACTAAAATCACTGAAAAACTTGAAATACTGATTAAGGTAGATCATGTATGTTTTTGGATGAATTGGGTTTTTTTTTCCTTTTTATTTTACCTATATATGATAATATGATAAGAATTATAACTTCTGTCTTTTTAAGTTTATTGGTTATATGTCCTTGGTAATAATTTCATTACTCAGAAACCAATGAAACAAACTCTGTCAGAATGTGAAAAAATAGAATGCTAGTAATAAATTTAAACCATTTTTCTATTATACTAAGCTTTGCGTAGATAAAATATTTATATTTTTCTTTTTAAGAGAACATCGAGTGGATGACTCAGGACGACAGTGTAAAAATATTAATTTTGAAGAAGGTACTATTAACCTGTTTGAATTACTGTAACATTATCAAAGTGTTCTCATGATTCTGTTTGGTATTTTCTTGGATTTCACTTTTGAGGACAATAAAGTGGGTGACTGGGGAATATCTTCACAGCTGAATGTGACCTAAATTGATTTTTTTTTAAATAAAAAAGCATACCCATATCAGTTATTTGGTGCTCATGATTAACAAAGTTAAAACCATTGCTAAAAATCACTTTATCTTATTTTCAAAGAGCCAATATTCGAAAACCTTTGAGAATTTTGGAATGATTTCAGTAACTTTGCTATCAAATAAATGCATCTTTCTGTTTCAAGCAGTTGTTTAACTCCCGTAAGCATGAGAATAGGTATGGTTTCTCTTTTTAATTTTTTATTCTTTTAGTATACTTTACAAATATACATTTGTATCCTTTAGATCTTCTTTGATTCATATAAGTCAGAGAACCTTGTAAATAGGTATATTTTACCAAATAAGCTATTATTTAAGTATTAATTATGTCTTCCTGGGGGAGTATCCTGCCATATGAAAGAATGCAACTCAATCCTTGCCCTCAATGAGTTTATAAAATTGTGGAAAAGACTATATTATTTTACCAAGTACTTTCATAGCTATTTTATTTAATTTTCACAACAGAAATACTGGAAGGTAAAGTTAAAGGTTGTGGGGTGGTGAGCATAGTGATGAGGAGTGATAGCAAATTTTTGAACATAGGAGAGATATGACAATAGATTCCATGCAGAAGCTAATTCAGATGTGTGAAAGCCTCAACTAGGGCAGTAACTGAGAATGGAGAAGGGATAAATAGGAGTTTGAGATACCCAGTGAAAAAACACTACAGCAGCAAAGAGAAGGTAAGACAAAGGAAGGAAGGGGTAATGAATCAAGTATGGCAAAATATTCTTGAGTCTGGGGGATGGATATATGAGCATGTGTTTGAAAATTTTCAAAACAAAAAGTAAAAAGAAGCCAAGAGCTGTGGCATGTGCCTGTAGTCCCAGCTACTTAAGAGGCTGAAGCCGGAGGATCTCTTGAGTCCAGGAGTTTGAGACCAGCCTGGCCAACGTAGACCCTGTCTCAAAATTAATTAACTAATTAATTAATTAAAAAGAATGAAAGAAAAGAAAAGGCAAGAATGAGAGGTGACAAAGTGCCAGCAGTGGGTATAAACTACTTTTTCTTTTTTTTCTTTTTTTGAGACAGAATCTCACTCTGTTGCCCAGGCTAGAGTGCCATGGCATCAGCCTAGCTCACAATAACCTCAAATTCATGAGCTCAAGCAATCCTTCTGCCTTAGCCTCCAGGGTAGCTGGGACTACAGGCATGCACCACCATGCCCGGCTAATTTTTTCTATATATTTTTAGTTGTCCAATTAATTTCTTTCTATTTTTAGTAGAGACGGGGTCTCACTCTTGCTCAGGCTGGTTTCAAACTCCTGACCTTGAGCTATCCTCCCACCTTGGCCTCCCAGAGTGCTAGGATTATAGGCGTGAGCCACTGCGCCTGGCCTAAACTACTTTTTTTAAAGGTGAAAAATAGGATGCTAACTTGAAGGAGCTATCAGGTCAGGGAATGATGAAGTTAAGAGGGTATGGTTGAGGTGTGAGAAGACACGTAAAAAGCAGTCTTTTAGAAGTTGGAAGGGGATAACAATATAGATCGGTGCTTCATTTGCATTAATGTGCTTAGGAATCATTTGGAACCCGTTAAAATGCAGATTCTGATTCAGTAGGCCTGGGGTGAGGCCTGAGTAGGTTTGCCAGATAAAACACAGTTAAATTTGAATAATGTTTTAGTATAAGTATGTCCCATCCAGTTAAATTTGGATTTTAAATAGATACATATTTTTTATTATAAATATGATCCATACATTTTATGAGACAGTCTTAAATTTCAAATATTACATGGAATGTACTTATACTAACAGTTGTTGTTTATCTCAAATTTAAACTTGACTGGGTCTCCCGTATTTATGTTTAGTAAATCTGGCAACTCTAGTGAGATTCTGAGAGTCTGCATTTATAACAAACTACTACCATGTGAGTTGATGCTGCTGGTCTACAAACCACACTTTGAGTAGCAAACCTCTAGAGCTACGTTGTCCCAATATGGTTGCCACTAACCATATCTGGCTATTTATTTATGTATTATTATTATCATTATTATTTTAAAGACAGGGTCTTGCCCTAACACCCAGACTGGAGTGCAGTGGCGTGATCATAGCTCACTGCAGCCTCAAATTCCTGGGCTCAAGCAATCCTTCTGCCTTAGCCTCCTGAGTAGGTAGGACTATAGGCTTGCACCATCACACCCAGCTAATATTTTTTAATTTCCTGCCACACTAGCCACATTTCAAGTGCTCAATTATGGGTGTATGTGGTGAGTGGCTACTGTATTAGACAGCATAGATAAAAAAACATTTCCATCACATCACTGTTCTATTGTACTTCACTGTTCTAAAGCACAAATGGGAGTGAGTTTAGAAGAGGCATCTGTTTTCTTTCATGAGATATCTAGGCACTTCAAAATAATTTTTATAAAATCATTTATAAATTTCAATAAATGTTTGGATAAAATGCATCTAGTAAAAAACTTCCATAATTGTTTTAATTTTAAAGATACTCAAATTTAAAGAGCTTATCATGGGATAGGATTATATTTGCCAATTACATAGAATTGAATCAATATATTAATATAGTCTTTTCTAAAATTCTTATCATTAGGATACCTAGTTAATCCTCACAGTCTAGGATGCAACATTTCTGAGATTCCCCAGTGAAGCCAGCACTGGGTAGAGGCTATAGGAAGCTAACCACGTATTATGAAGCAAACTCCAGTCTGATTTGGGGCAATTTGATATTTGATTTGAAAGAGTAAAGACTGGCTTCCAGATGGCGATTAAGTATCAGCATGGTCTATCCAATAATACAAGGGCCACAAAAATCAGAGCCCATCCCTGGAAAAGGATTCAGACAAAGGTGATCAATTCTTTGTGTGTGATTAGAAAGGAAGGTCTTAGCCTTTGCTGAGTGTCCTAGGTGCTTAATTGCCCCAAAGTATAGCAGATTATTTTCACATATGCTTATTATTGGAGGAGGAACTTCTAAAGAATCCTGAGATATAAAGGCAGGCACTATTATGAAAAAAATCATAGAAACTTACTGCACATTAGGAAAATCATACTCTCCCCCCCTCCCACTGCCAGTACACACATATTCAAAGACATAAATGAACACATTCTTGTAATACCTACCTGGGGTTTACTCTGAATAAGTAGATAAATTACAAAACAGCATGATGGATATGTATGAGTAGATGTATATGTCTGTGTACTTTTCAGCTTTACTGAGAATAGCTTATATTGTGTGTGTACCTTAACTACATCATTCAAGATGAAATGTCAATACACTACTTTGCCCTCCTAATTTATAAAATTACCATCAAATCCTGATTATTTCTTTGCAGAAATATAAATGGTAACCTAAGGACTTTTAAAAAATTTTTACTTAAGATGTGTTAGTAATAAGGAATTTTTTTTTTTTTTTTTTTTTTGAGACAGAGTCTCACTTTGTTGCCCAGGCTAGAGTGAGTGCCATGGCGTCAGCCTGGCTCACAGCAACCTCAATCTCCGGGGCTCAGCGATCCTACTGCCTCAGCCTCCCGAGTAGCTGGGACTACAGGCATGCGCCACCATGCCTGGCTAATTTTTTGTATATATATTTTTAGTTGGTCAATTAATTTATTTCTATTTTTGGTAGAGACGGGGTCTCGCTCAGGCTGGTTTCAACTCCTGACCTTGAGCAATCTGCCTGCCTAGGCCTCCCAAAGTGCTAGGATTACAGGCGTGAGCCACCACGCCCGGCCTTAAGGAATTTTTTAATGGTGATAAGAACAGAGGGATTTATTTTATTTTTCTCTTTTTTTAAAAAATGCAGCTATGCTTGGAAGAAAACAGGGATTTTTACTAATACTAATTTAACGTAGCATTGAAATTCCAAATATATATCCATTGAAGTGAATCATAGAAATGGAGCTGATTTAATAAACTATTTGAGTTCTTCATGAACCTCTTATAAATTTAAGATTTAGGTAATGTCAAAAAAAATCTGCAACTGAAATTTAAAGCCAATGTATTTAGTATGATAACACTATATTATAGAATTCTGTAAAATGCATTCTTATTTTGGATTGAGAGACACCAAATAGAAAATAAGTGTGAGTATTTCTTGAGATAATAGGATTGAAATATATCTCCTGGGAAGAAAATTTACTTTAAGTGCCATTTTAAATTATTTCTGTCATATAAATCCTTTTTCTGTTAAACTACTTTGAAGCCTAAAAATGATTTTAAGTGTTTGTTCATAGAATTTGCTACATATAATTTCTACATTTTATTGCTGTAAGAAAAATTACATGTATAGGTAATATAATTTTTCTCCTATTTACATATAGCAAGCACAGATGAAGTTCAGGTTCCCCAAGGAAATATTGATCAAGTTGCTGTTGTGGCCACCAATATTCTGTTTTTTGTGATTCTATTTATCTTTGCTCTTTTTGAAACGTAAGTTTTTTTCTGTCTTCATCTAAATCAGATTATGTATTCACCTGTATTTCATTTCTTAATGAACTGTTAAGTAGACAGATAGATGTAAAACCTTATGTAAGTCACATTTTTCTTATGATGTAAAAAGTATATATATGTTTTATAATTTTTATTCTTTGTCCTTAATCTTATTACCTTATCTTTCTTTTTATTTATTTATTTATTTTATTTTAGCGTATTATGGGGGTACAAGTGTTAAGGTTACATATATTGCCCATGCCCCCCTCCCCCCTTGAGTAAGAGCTTCAAGCATGTCCATCCCCCAAATATTGCACACCTTACTCATTGTGGTTGTATATACCCATCCGTTCCTCCCCCTTCCCACCCTCCCAACACCCGATAAATGTTACTTCTATATGTCTACTTAGGTGTTGATCTGTTAATACCAATTTGCTGGTGAGTACATGTGGTGCTTGTTTTTCCATTCTTGAGATACTTCACTTAGTAGAATGGGTTCCAGCTGTATCCAGGAATATACAAGAGGTGTTGTATCACCATTGTTTCTTAAAGCTGAGTAGTATTCCATGGTATACATATACCACATTTTATTAATCCACTCATGAATTGATGGGCACTTGGGTTGTTTCCACAGCTTTGCAATTGTGAATTGTGCTGCTATAAACATTAGAATGCAAGTGTCTTTTTCATAAAGTGACTTTTGATCTTTTGGGTAGATGCCCAGTAGTGGAATTGCTGGATCAAATGGTAGATCTACTTGTATTGCTTTGAGTTATTTCCATATTGCTTTCCACAGAGGTTGAACTAGTTTGCAGTCCCACCAGCAGTGTAGGAGTGTTCCTCTCTCTCCGCATCCACGTCAGCATTTGTTGTTTGGGGACTTTTTGATAAAGGCCATTTTCACTGGAGTTAAGTGATATCTCATTGTGGTTTTGATTTGCATTTCCCTGATGATCAGAGATCTTACTTTCTTATTAAGGAATGTTTCACTAATCTTTCCTGCTCTCATCTACGTTTTATGATAAATACAGTCAAAAAACTTTAATTAGTGTCATGATTTAATTAACTTTGAGCTATATAATTCCTATTTATGCATACAAAGTTCAGTCTATCAATTTTAACTCTAACCCTGATCTTGAAAAGAAAACTAGTATATTGCAAAATCTCTGCCTTGTGCAGGCTTTATTGACCTTTATTTGTCATATGGTCCTTTTATTTATAAAATACTTTTCATTAAATTATAAAAATAGTACATTCTTGTAACAGTTCTAAAGACTACAACTTTATTTCCATATCCACTCCTTTCCATAGAAGTAACCACTGCTAATAGTTCAGTTTGTATTTTTGCAAACATTTTTGCTGAGCAACTATAAGAGTATGTGTGTTTGATGTTTGTATTTATTCAACTAATATAGACTATGTGATAAATATAATTTGACAACTTTGTTTATTCCCTTATGAGTACATTGTGACTTTTTAATGTCAGTACATGTAGATTTGGTTGATCTTTTTAATTTCCAGATTATTGAGATATATGAAAGTTTCAGCTCATCTGATTTTTTGGGTGTTTTTTAAATTGTAAAATATATGTAACATCAAATTTACCATTTTAACTATTTTCAAAGTATACCATTCAGTGGCATTGTGCAACCATGACCACTATTCATTTCCTGAACCTTTCATCATCCTAAACAGGAACTCTGCATCCACTAAACAATAACTCCCCACCTTTCCCCAACCCAGGCCCTGGTAACCTCTGTTCTACCTTCTGTCTGTATGAATTTGCCTATTTTAGGTACTCATATAAATTGAGTTATACAATATTTTTTTCTATCTGCCTTATTTCACTTAGCATGTTTTCAAGGTTCATCATGTTGTAGCATGTAGCAGAATTTCATAATGTTTTATGGTAGAATAATATTCCATTATAGCTAGATACCTGAAAAAAAAAAAAAAATAGAAATAATTAATTGACCACTAAAAAATATATATACAAAAATTAGTCGGGCATGGTGGCACATGCCTGTAGTCCCAGCTACTTGGAGGCTGAGGCAGTAGGATCGCTGAGCCCGAGATTGAGGTTGTTGTGAGCCAGGCTGATGCCATGGCACTCACTCTAGCCTGGGCAACAAAGTGAGACTCTGTCTCAAAAAAAAAAAAAAGTTGAAATCAGATGAGCTCATGTAAAAAATGGTTAGGTGGTTTCTCAAAAAGTTAAACAGAATTACCACATGATCCAGTAATTCCATTTCTAGGTATACAGAATTGAAAGCAACTCAACAGATACTTATACCTGTACATCAGTGTTCACAGAGGCATTATTCACCATAGCCAAAAGGTGAAAACAACCCAAATATCCATAACAGATGAATAGACAAACAAAATGTGCTATCTGGCCGGGCGCTGTGGCTCACACCTGTAATCCTAGCACTCTGGGAGGCTGAGGCGGGTGGATCGTTCAAGGTCAGGAGTTTGAAACCAGACTGAGCAAAAGCCAGACCCCTGTCTCTACTAAAAATAGAAGGAAAGCAATTGGCCAAGTAGAAATACATAGAAAAAATTAGCTGGGCATGATGGCACATGCCTGTAGTTCCAGCTACTCAGGAGGCTGAGGCAGAGGATTGATTGAGCCCAGGAGTTTGAGGTTGCTGTGAGCTAGGCTGATGCCACGGCACTCTAGCCCAGGCAACAGAGTGAGACTCTGTCTCAAAAAAAAAAGT